TCACATTTACGAGTCGATAGTAAGCATTCAATAGCTTCAGAATGGCCTAAATCAGCAGCCAAATGAAGAGGTGTTCGTTCCCTCCAATCAACGGCCATTACATCACAGTGACACTCATCAATGAGATACCTCATCACATCAACATGGTTACATTGTGCAGCATAATGAAGACAGCTCTGGCCTGTACCATCTCTTTCGTGTGGGTCACAGTGATACTTGGTGACCAATTCTTTTGTAACAGCTAGCCAGCCATTTCTTGAAGAAAAGTGGAGTAAACTAGTATTATCCCATATTATATATTTTCTTTTAATTCTCTTTGGTTCCTTCACTAATGGTAGTAGACGAACAGCTTCTTCATGATCTCGCTCTTTAAATGCAAACCAACATGACTTGTCGTCAAAATCGAGGTCAGAAGACATATTGGCTTATGCTGCAACCATAGATAGACAACTTAATTAGCAGCAACTATCAGAAAATCACTTGTGTAAGTGTAGAGAATAAAGCCACTGCCTAAAATAAAAAATCCACTATTGGTAATTTTTAGCCCCACCCAAAAGTCCCAAATATGCATCAAGCTCAATGTACTATGTACATACTCAGTGAATTTATCTTGCATTCCCTTTATAGTGCATAGGCGTAGGAATGGGGGGGGGGTTGAAGCCCCCCAACTTTTCAGCAAAAGGGGCTTAGCCCCCATGTTCACATGCTAAGTCATGCTTTTTAATGTTGAGCCCCCTCAATGTAGTATGCCTTATACTGGCACTGATAATCTGACGAAACTGAACAAGATTAAATGTACATCATTATTATAAAAGTTTTCAGAAAAAACTACTTTCTCTGTTTATTCTGCATCTAAAAAGTTTGGGCAACATCGGAAACTAAAACTGTTGTGAGACAAAACTTGAACTGTCCAAGTGATAACTTGAACCTAATATCTAATATCTCTAATCATCTAATATCTAATTTACTCTAATATCTATGCTTGAACATAAACTCCATGCCAGTTTGGATAATAGGGTTCAGTGCATGAAGATTACTCATGAATTGTTATTGATGCAAATTGCATTCAAGTCTTATTTTTACATGATTTTTAGCAGCTTTAATTTTTTTACTAAAATCAAAAAAATTCAGGCATCACAAATGTTAATAATACTGACAAGCACTTTCTCCATTTCTTTTTAATGAACTTGTGCGGTTGGCCTGATATAAATATCATTAACCTAATAATAATGATCAATAATAATTATTACTATTAATAAGAATATCAGCTTACTTCCATTCTTGGTGGTGCTGATAATGCAAACAGAACAGCTGAAGCCATATCAACTGCCTCTAGAGGCTGACCCTACACAACATGAGAACATGTAACAGGAAACGTAATAAAAATGAAGAATTTTCTACTTTTCATTTTTTGGCAAAATTTGGCCTGAGACAATGTACTATAGTAGAGGGACTTTGGCTCAATTTTGGAGCAATTTTAAAAATTCATAAAAATTCAATTTTGATCAGAATCAGCTCAAACTTGCTACACAGCATAAGAACATGCATATGCTTTGGCCCAATCTTAAAGCAACTTCAAACAACAACAGTACATGTACATGAATCAGTGACTCCCCTCCAGTCATTACTCACATTATACACTAGTGAATCATAGTCTTTCTTTGACTGCTCTATGTCAGCAGCTTTTGATGCACGTCCTCTGAACTCAGTACGAACCAGGCCAGGGGATATAGCCTATTAATAATAAAAATATTATTATTTATTATAATTATTGATTACTGTTATTCTAGTGTTGGTTTTCATTTCTCTCAATTCTTGTCTTATCCCTTCAACTAGTGCAGTCACAGCATATTTAGTGGCACAATAGAAATGAGAATAGTTAGTAACACGATGACCAGACATACTATAAAAACAACAACAATAATAATGCCTGTACAGACTAGCCTCTATATAATGGACACTTGGGGTCAAGAAAGTGTCTCTGTTATACAGAGGTGTCCTTTATGTGGAGGTTATTTTATACAGTAAGGAATGTAATTGGTACACTAGGTGCTGTCCGTTAAATGGAGGTGTACGCTATAGAGAGTGTCCACTTTAATAATACTATTAATTACCTGTTTATGAAGACAATATGTCCATCATCAATTTTCCTTGACTTGATATCATTCATAA